TAAAAGATAGAAAGGACACAATGTTTGAGATTTTTTTAATTAATTTTTCTTCACCATTTGCCTCGTATTACTTATTCTGAACCAACGCTGCAAATTTGGTTGATTATTCCAACTAACCCTATATACTCTATTTTATATATTTCACGGGGACCAGCTATAATCTCTTAATTATTTTTATTGCTCTATATAATATCTAATGTCTGAAATGTTCACTATAAGACGAAGGTCTCTTCCAAGAAGTGCCCTACAGGCTAACCTTGATGTTTAAGTGGCAGCAACCACCACCCTTGTTCCATTTTTTCCATTTTCAGCTTCCTCTGGATGATGTTACTCAATCACTACGGCATTTTTGTCTATCTATAAGATTCGTCAAGTATCTATGTTTATTAGTTAAGGTAAGTCGATAATATTTTAAATATACACTTTAATATCTTAGCTTTAGACATGTTTCCCGGCTTAAGTCTAATTTAATAAACAAACGTTATATATCTACGTAGCTAGTGATTCTAAATAAGGAAATTAAGTACGCGATACCCGTATAGGATTGAGAAGGCTTGTATAAATGTGCGGAAGAACCCATTTCACCTTCTTCTAATTCTGGCTGTCTCAGAACTTGTTCAACAACATCATCGAATGGACCACGATCTACGTATGTCTCTGGATATACCACACTTCATTACAGTTCGTGATAAAGGGAACATGAAAGAAAATAAACAAAGTTAGTAACCCATAATAATGGCTGGAACCCACCACCAGTTGTGATATATGAAACTGTACAAAACTCCTCATAAGGTCAGCATAAAATAGGTAGTGTATCATATAGTAGAACGTCTTTTGTACAGTTTCATAGAATAAATACTCGTGTTAAACGCACTGTCGTAATTGGGTGTGTTCCGGCCTTAATGTATCAAATTTGATGAATATTAGCTATATTTAATTTACTTTTTATCATGGTACTTTTCACTGCTGTCTGTTATATCGTGTTCATCATCAGCACTTTCATTTTCTTTATATTCATCATAATATTCGTCGTCCAAGTTTCCTCTTGTTGAATAATCTTGACTATAAAAATATTTAATTAATAATTTCGATGTTTTGTAAAATTTGTATAAATTATAAATTTACTAGTAAATGATACATAACTATTCTTTCTTCTAAACTGTATTACTTACATATAGTCCTTGGAGGTGAAAGAAAAATTACTTCTACGCTTAACACGAGTTGGCGTTTCATATTGATTGTCCAGATTACCCCAAAAATAAGTGTCACCTGTCAGAGTTTCTTCGTGAAGATCCCTTTTGGTCTTTGAATTTCTGCGCGCTAACACAATTTCTTCAGATGGTAAAAAAGAAGTTCTAAAACCTTGAAATACATCCCTCTCATCAGGATCTATTCCTTCGAGTTTTGTGTATGTAGCGGGGATATTTTTTACTGAAAACTGGTCAGATGGATCGCCCAAAGAATTTACAGATTTTTTTATAATTAGATATATAACAGTTAAGGATGAAATGAAAGATAATATAGAAATAAATCGACAAATATTAGCACTTTTCGGTCTTACTGAAACCTGGATTGGGTTTCGCGTGTCAACTCGCGTCATGGCAATAGCCAACTGACGTTGTCATGTCATCGTTAGAGATTCGTAACTAGAACGTCAGCCTGTGTACGTACAACCAACAACATTGATGTACACTAACTAAATAATTGCCTTTGTGCATTTGACCCTGAGATCAAATTTAAAGGAGACATACACTGTAAATACGAATTAAATTCCGAGAAATTTTTAAAATATTCTTAGTCAATCAAAAGATGTTTCTACTCGTATCATAAGGTCTACATTTTGTAGCATACTACCTATTAAATCTAAGATCGGCGGCAGAGAGTACGGTGCAATGAGTTGCAATTTGATGTGCTGACTTACAGGTTCTCGGTGATGAAAAAAAAAACTTTTGCGAATATGTGAAGTTCTCCATTACAAACTGTAGAAGTACTTTTCTTAATAAAGTTACAGCATATATACGTCCCACTGCTAGGCACAGACCTCCTCTCATTTCTGAGAGGGTTATATGGCAAGATTTTTTTTTATAGGAGAGGGGGCAAACGAGCATGCGACTCACCTGATAGTAAGTGAACAACCGCAACACCGGGGGAATTGCAGATACGTTGCCGGCCTTTTAAAAAGGAGTAGGCTCTCCAAGTAAATTTCCTCCACGCTGCCCCAATGCGTGTTGGCGAACTTCACATGTCTTCGATATATTTTTTCTTCTTATTTCTCAGGCATGCCAGTTTACTCACGATGTTTTTTAGCACCGCCGAGAACGTGGTAAATCAGCACTTAAAATTGCAATTAACAATTGGTGCCGGCGGTGATCGAACCCGGGTTGCTTGTGTACTGTGAAATTTGCAGCGAGCGCTTAGCTTCTTAGTTACCACGGCTCACTTTCCTTTACTTCTACAATAATGCAACGAGGTTTTTAAATAAATTGACTTCCGAAAAACCTTAGTATGATTAAAAACTTTTTACCCTTGCAAAACATGTTTCACGTTATTGAAACTGCATTGTTCCTTATGTAGAAAACGTTTCACTTTATAATCACAACGTAAGTTATCATCATTACAGCCCTTCATAAGTCCACTGCTGAACTTAGGTTTCCCTCAAGGAATGTCACAAAACACGGTGCCTAGCCACCTTCATTATTCATACTGTGCCTGCATCCAATTTCTGCATGTGTTACGATCCATCTAATGAAGCGACGCCCTATACTATATATACCGGTTAGGAGGCTGAGGCTACCACTGTAGTAGAACTTTACTTTCCCATCGTTTTTTGGTTTTTCGTGCCATATGGCTATTTTACTTCTCAATGTATATTATTAATAAGTAAAACATGGACAAAATACAAGAATTATAGTTTTTAGAATCAAAGTAACCAATGGATTGCTTAAATTTAAGTTTTGTTTTAGCTTGAACGGCCATATAGTTTGTAGATATGAATATAGATGGAAAAGGAAGAGTCTTAAAGTGAAAGCGCCAGGGTAACCCGCGAAATTCAAATTTTCTTAAGTTTTTTGCAATTTTTAGGTCAGTGTCAGGTTGTATGTTTAACAAAATATGATTCGCGACCGTAACGAGTATGTATTTACAGAATTATAATCATTATAATTCATCAATACAACCCTCTAAGTTCGTATAATCCCATTGTATGGCTATTTCCAGAAAAATCCATTCAAAGGGATTATATGAACTTAGAGAGTTGTATTGGTGATTTTAATGATAATAATTCTGTAAACACATACTCGTTACGGTCGCGAATCATATTTTGTTAAACATACAACCTGACCCTGACCAGCAAATTCCAAAAAATGTAAGAAAATTTGAATTTTGCGGGCCATCCTATAGCTTTCACCTTCAGTATAAGCCTGGTACCGAAAAAAGCATCGTGCGGTGACTTTTTGCATGATAGAATAAACTGATAAGTGTCGATAACTCAGACACTAGTTTTATGACAGTATTTGGAGGAGAGTGTACTTGTGACTGAGCAATGAGCAGCAGTGGCTATGATAATGATTAAAAACATCTAATATTATTGATAATTTGTTTAAATTATCAATAATATTAAATGTCTAGCTGATGATACTTCCCGATCTCATAATAATAGATTAGAATCCAGCATTCAGTCTAGATAGTCAGTTAACCTTTTTTTGTAAATTTTCAAAACAAAAAGTTTTATAGAAATAATATGTGGATACTGGTGGATACAGTGGAATGACGTCATAATTTTTATAATCTTGTTTATATATTTTTAAATACTACAAATATAATTTATCTTAACATACGAAAAGGTACGATTGCTGTATCGTTATCATCGTCAGCCCTACAAAGTCTACTGCCACACTACGCCTGTTGTGTGTGTTTTTTTATAAAACTGAAGTGACAAACAAATCTACAATCCACCTGATGGTAACCGGCTATTGCAGTTAATGCTGTCAACTTCAAAGAAAGAAGGTTACAAATGTGTTGTCAACTCTGAGGACTAGGGTCGAAATCCTCACATCCTGTAATTATACTGGATCTATACTCTTCAGAATGTGGCTGAAAGTTAAAAAGGTGGTACCTATTCAGACGCAGTCTGGTGATAGTGACAAAGTTTAAATAAATAAATACTTAAGTACACAGATTTTTGATCATTGTTCTTGAATGTTAATGTAAAAAATAGGAGTTGGGAAATCTTTCTTCTTTTTTGTTCTATTTACAGTTATTTATAATATTTTTTTTACAGGATAATAGTGACAAACGAGCACACAGTCCACTTGATGGTAAGTGGATGCTGTGGCCCATAGACATTTACAACTATATCCTCGATTAAGAATCAAAATGAGATGCGTTCTCAAAAAATAATTTATGTATTATATTAACTGTCATTATATATACTCGTAGTAATGTATGATGAGGTTTTTATTGAAAATGATAAGGCATTATGTATAAAGCTTGACAGATATTTCAATAGCACTGCTTCGGTTGATCCACACAATAGGTGGTATAGCTTATACCTGCATTACTGGTTCCACCATTGACCTAGGACTACGCTTACGCTAGGTTCCACAGTATTTTTTAAAACTTGTAAATAATAGGTGTATTTTTATTTATGTCGGTTTTCTTTAAGTATACGTACGTAGTAATATGTATTTTATGTCTTTATACAGGGACACATCTCTATAATGATATGGAAATCATAAGAACGTACTCTGAAAGCATATTTATTGTTGGCCATGTAATTTGAAAAAAAAATATGCCAATGACGTGAGAATAAAATAACAAGACAAGTTAACCTCTTATGTATGTTATCTATGACTTGTTTAATGATTCTTTATTATCTCTTGGTAGAGAGTAATTGTGTTCTGTGTTTATTATTACTATCATACATTATTTAACAATATATTATTATTCACTATCATTACAAGTAGTAATATATGTAGGTACTTTGACAATAAATCGAAAATATGTCGCTCGAGGAAATAATAGAACAAATGAATTTAATAAATGCATTTATCTTGGAAAATATGACGTTTGGTAAATATGTTGTACTCATTGACTTATCTTAGATTATTTGAGAGTAAATAATCTAAGTGACTTATATATTGTACTGTACAATAACTGTTACTACCTATTGTAGTAGTTTTATACAACAAGAAATCTAATTATGTTATGATCTAGGTATTAATTATTTGGACTGTACTTTGTAATTAGCTGGGCTGGCCTAAGTTCAGCAATGAACTTATAATGAGCTGTAGTAGTAGTAGTAGCAAAAGTAGTAGTGTGTTTGTATATAATAGGTCAAAAAGGCGCTGCTTTATCGACGCCATTTTGACAGTTGATATTATTGTAAATATTTTAGTCGATTTTTGTATTGTGTAGTATAGTTAGTTTTTTTAAGTAGATTTTTCGAAGTGTTCTTAATTATTTCCAAAGCTTGTTTGCTATTTTTTTTTTAAATAAATTAGTTATAGTAGGTGTACGACTTTGTGTTTTTGTTTCTGTTCTCCTCCTAATTTGGGGTTTATAGGGCGATAAAGCTTAAGGGGACCACATTACCCTCACGTACTTACTATAATATCAACTGTCAAAATGGCGTCGATAAGTGGCGCCCTTTTGACTCTTTATTATTTGAATGACAGATGAAGAGCTATCGTATTACAAAGCCACCTATGCAAATTAGGCTGCAGTTTTTGAGTTATAAGAAAGTGACCATATTAAACGGATGACCGTATTACCCTCACGTACTCTAATATATTATTAATTTGAGATATAAAGTAAATCTTACAATTTATTTACTGCTTTCATATTTCAGAAGAAAAAAGTGAAGATAATGAAGAATTTATTAACCACTTGCAAACGATGAAAGATTGGTTCTCAAGAATTTCTTATGTAAACAAGAAATTATACTTATTAGTTCTTTTAGAAGACGTACAGTATGCGGGGACCTTGTCATTACTCTTAAAGTCTTTATGGAATTGTCGTCTCAAAGATTCAGTGCTTTCTATTAGCGGGTAAAATATAAATATCTTATTTAACCAATTAGCTGGCTTAAAGTATTAAAAAAAAGTTAGCAAACGAATTAGCTATTTTCTGAGTTCATTATCATACAAACTCATATTTTCATATGAATTAACAAATTAATATTATTTTTAAGAGTGGTAACACTGAGCAGCTATGATCAAGTTCCAATGGATCACAACAGAACTGCTGCACCAGTATCAATTCTTAGACAAATTATGGCAATTGATAGGCAATGGTTTCATTCCTTACAGTCAGTGAGTATAACTCCTTATAATTTTGGCAATTTCTAAAATCTATTTGCTATGTCACATAGTTCAGCTTCAGTCTGTGCTGTCCTATCCTACGAAAAGCAACAGGCCAGGCCAGACCCAGGAAAAGAGATGAATTAAAAAAAGACAAGTAGCTTTCATTTATTAATTGTTTAAGGTATTTTTATAATTAATACAATCAGGCGTTACTTTGCGGAAATCCATTATATAAAAGCTTATAAAAAGTTACTTCGCAATCATCCGCTCTATAAAATAAAATTATGTGTCTTACCTAGTATGAAGAGAACCTCCCGCCCTCCCTCAATTGCGTGCACTATCCCTGTCACCACTAATCCCAGCACCACTACTCCCAACACCACTACACTAGATAAGACACATCATTTTATTTTATAGAGCGGATGTTTGCGAAGTAAATTCTTATAAGCTTTAATAAGGTATTTTTATCAATGCAAATATTTTTATACTATTGATTGGGTAAGGATTAATAAACTCACTGGACCGCGTATATAACTTTAAGAACGATATACCATAGCTATGACGCAGCGAAGATATTCGAGTAGCGGCTTCGTCATGGCAGGTGTAGTGTAGGGAGGTACCCAAACAAACAAAGCGAATAGAGTAACCCCCTGACAGATGTGAAAGGTGTGTGTCTACTGTCCACGTTCCAGCAGTAAACTTGCAATAGGATGCAATGATGATAATAGTGACTCTCCGATAAAGTTAGTGATAGTAAATTTAATGAGTTTAATGAACAAAGCTAGCATAATCTCAATGTGCAATTTATTTAATATAGAGATTTATATTTTTTTTATATTTTGTTTATTTGTGATGACTTCGAGTGAAAAAAATAGCTACATATCGTCACAATATGCAGAAGAAACATGGAAAGAGATAGCACGTAGCCTAGTGGAACGCCAGCATTCACAGGCGCATACCGTCGAATACGACCTTGATGCTCTTATCTGTGTGCAAAATTGTAACCCAATTGCATGGTTTTTCGAAAAGCCTATAGGAGTGAAGCTGTACAAGAAGCATATTGTGTCAAGATTGACGGAAAGTTAGGTAAGGTATATCCATCGTCACGTTCACGCCCTTGGTCGCATTGCCTACGCCCCGATGATATGATGATGGTGCGAGGGATTCTGTTACGCTTTAAACACACACAGTATTACCAATAATATCAAATGCAACATAGATAAAAATCTAAACAGATGGCGTGTTTAGATATATATCTTCAAACTTAACCTAAATATTCTGGTATATATATATATATATATACATGTAATTTTTTTTAAAGGAAAATCAAGCTATAGTGTTAATAGAGTTGCTGACTATAGCTGGAGGTCCTGTTCTCTGGGAGGTTCTTAAGCGCGCACAAAACATCTACAATCGTTACCGTGAATATGAGCTACAAAATTTGAAAGAATCAGTAATTGTCGCAAAAAATCTGACGAACAAAGGCAAAACATCGAATCATAATTTGGTTTGTCTTATATTATATTTTCTTTTAAAGTATATTTGCGATATTTTGATGAAAATAAGGTGGCAGTTCTAAGGTAGCTTTTATAGTTGAATCACCGTATTAGGCATTACAAATTATTTGTTTTCGGTTCTGAATTTGTTATCAGTCTCACACCTAACCAATGCAATTATTAGGTACGAGACGTCCAGGGACGCCTCTGTTTGTGAATAATATATAATAAAACTATGTTTACAGCAACCTATGGTCACGGAGAGCACCCGAATCGTCGGGAATTAAAATAAGTAAATTAAACGTGATAAAATCCGCAAACATAGTTTTATTCAATGTGTAGCGTTCGCGATCAATATAAGAAGATAGAAGATAAATATAAGAAATCATTAAGTAAAATTATGTTGCCGTAACTTAAATGAACTACGAACAACTATTTTTATTTGACAAGTGGTTAAATTAAAAATTTTGTTTTTTTTTTTATAGGATAAGGGTGACAAACGAGCACACAGTCCACGTGATGGTAAGTGGTTGCTGTGGCCCATAGACATCTACATTTATCTTCGTTGAGGAATCAAAATGCAGATGCGTTGTCACCCGTGAGGACTAAGATGGAATGCCTCGTTTCCAGTAAAAAGGGTCTCCAGTTCTCTACACTTACCATACGAAACACAGCAGCATTAAGCTGCTATTTTACGCTGGTATTCTGTGAGAGCGTGGTCCTTCCCCGGTCAAGCCGACCCATTCGTGTTACTACTATACCAGAAATATAGCTGCAGCATGGCTCTACCACGAATGCAACTGATTTCAATATAAATTATTAAAAATAACTGGAAAAACTACTCGTCATACCTTGATCAAATTTATGCGAGACCACATGAAAAGCACCAGGTTTCAAATAAAAAAAGAACAATTGAAATCGGTTCACCGCGAAAAATGTTATGAGGTATCATACACAAAAAACATACACTCGAATTGTGTACCTCCTCCTTTTTGAAGTCGGCTGAAAAATATAATAATACTTCCAAATATATTAGAGAATAACACTGCATTAATTTTTGGGAAAAACGATCAAATAAAAAAAGTGACGAATATATTAATAGAAATATTTTAACATGTTTTGAATTCTAACGACATTTTAATAATCATAATAAGCTTGGAGTTCTCAGAAATTTTAATAAATATTATCTGTTTTATAGAAAAAGGATCTGTCTCGGCGTAAAAGTGGGGACTCAGGGCAAGCGATGTTAAAGCCAGTTCCACAAATGAGCCAAGCGCAAAAGCAGGTATAATGCTCATATATTACGCGTAGAAGTATGACGAAAAATTATGGTCCTTTAGTGCTGGCCGCATGAGAAAAGTTGCTCCACATGCTATGAAGATTAATTCTATGGTTAATACAATTCGTAGCGTGAAACCTCGCAACTTTGCCATTTTTGGAAGGACTTAAAAGTTTAGGACCAATTTTCCAACAAAAAAATGTATTATCGGACTAGGCGTCAATGTTAAATGTGACATTATATTCTTTTTTCTTTTTTTTCAAAACGTTACCCCCACACTAGGATTTTCTCCTGTATCGTGGAGGCAGTTTACAAACACAAATTGCACAAGGACAAACATCCAGACCCGGAACAAGTATTTGTAGGCCATACAAATACTTGCTCCGTGCGGGATTTGAACCCGCGCCCCACGGCGCATTAACTCATTGCTAAGCCACTGCGCCACGGAGCCGTCAATAGCCGTATATTCTTCATAGATTTGGTATTTATTACGAGTAGTGTCGTTTTTCAGTGTCATCCTCGTATTTAAATCCAAAAATGGCATATTATCTCGAAAAACGTTACGTTGACCGTGTTAATCTTAATTTTGTACCAGTACACCACTGATGGTAAAGTTACCTTCCATTGGTAAAGTTGCCAGACTTGACTGTAATGAAAATATCTGCAGTACTAAAACTATAGCCAGAATAATGGACATAACACAATTAATCAGTAAGCTGTTTCATTGTGTTATATTTTAATTTTTGTGTAATTCTATTAAATTTTATTCTGTTCTGTTCTATTCCGTTTATTCGGTACTATTCTGTTCTATTCTGATCTATTATATTCTGTTTTATTCTGTTCTATTCTGTTATATGCTGTTCTTGTCCCTTTCGTTCCGTTCCGGTCTGTTCTGTTCGTTCTGGTCTGTTCCGTTCGATCCATTATGTTCCTTTCTGTACCGATACGTTCTGTTCCGTTTTGATCCTTCCTGTTAGGTTCTGTTCTGTTCTTTTCCGTTCTGTTTTGTTCTGTTCTATTCTATTCTGTTCTATTCTACTCCACTCCACTCTACTCTACTCTACTCTACTCTACTCTACTCTACTCTACTCCACTCTACTCTTTTCTACTCCTATTCTAGGACCACACTCTCACATAATTATAGCGTAAAATAGCAGCTTAATGCTGCTGTGTTTCGTATGGTGAGTGTAGAGAATCGGAGACCCTTTTTTACTGAAACCAGGCTTTCATCTTAGTCCTTAGTCTTAATCAAGGATAAATGTAGATGTCTATAGGCCACATCATCCACTTACTATCAGGTGGACTGTGTGCTCGTTTGTCACCCTTATTCTATAAATATAGTCATATCTCGGTCGATATCGATTGAAAATTAAAAACATTTATCTTATTATATGGGTACAAAAACATAACTATTACAATGGAACAAAGAACCAAGGTGCTACAATTTCTATTTAAAAGTAACAAAATTACAAATGGTGACTCTCCAAAAATGTTGCACCAATTGATTTAAAAACTAAACTGATCATGTGCATGATTTTGCTTTATTCTCAACTATAATCTTAGAGATAAGGCGGTAAACAGCAATTGTGAAACATTTACTGGGAAAATAAACTTAAAATATAAATTTATGAATTATACATTTTAAAATACTGCCTTGCAGAATTTTTAAATGACACTGCCGCTTTCAAATGTTATTTACGGTTAGGAATCAAATCTAGTTACTCATACGTACTTTCTTTACCAAGCTATGCAATTGTAGAACGTACTTTGTTCACTAAGCTACGCAATAGTATAAAGAAGAAAATACAATTTTATTTTAAATGCGAGTACTTTAATCGTAAAGTGTATGCGCTTAATGTGGACTTGTACGAGTATTATGTTTTTAATAGATTTAACCTATTAACACAGACTAGTATCAAAGATCAATAATATGAGATTATAAAAATATAACCAACAGAAGAATTCCATAAGAGTATTACGTGCGAACAATGCGCCACATAATACATAATACGAGATTAGAGAATTCTCAGAAATATTAAAACGTCACCAATGTGTCTTCATTGTACGATGTATGTATTATATTATACAACGGACATTAACAATGCATATTCTTATAGCATTACTAGCTGGCCAGATAGACGTTGTGCCTTTCCCGACGAACCTTTATCCTATAAAAAATCCTAAAAGTAGCAATAAAAATATTGAGGGTTTACTTATCGGAATAAAAACTATTCCATAGCTCGAGTTGGAGCAAGCAACACAAATTTACAAAATTTCATTAAAATCTGTTGAGCGGTTTTGGAGATTAGCGTGAAAGAACATCGTGACACGCAATTTTTATATATTAGATAATTTATCTTAGGCATGTTGCTAAAGTAAAGTAAGCTAATTTATAGAGTATAATTAATAAATAACAAAGTAAAAAAAACCAGTCAAAATACGTCCCACAGCATTCCACAGGCCTCCTAACATTTCTAAGGGGTATTCAAGGCAGGGTAAAGTCCGTCGCAAGCCGCAATGCACGTCAGCGAATTTCACATGCCCTCCTTTTTGTACCTGCATACTCAGATGCAGGTTTTCTCACACCAAAAGCGGTAATTTAATACTTGATTGCATTCTATATAACATATTACAATTAACAATGTCGTCGGTGGGCTTACTCGCTTAACATTAAACGCCTACCTCTTGGGCTACCACGGCGTTTAGAATTGAAGTAATTCGAGCTTAATTTTCACACTTAATATCGTTTGATTGATTTATTATACAGTTGGAAGAAAGTCTCGCTGTTTGGAACTCTACTATAAAATCAATACGTGATAATTTAAAAATAGAAGAAGTAGAGGTTATTCTCAATGATGGCACAACGAAGAAAATTTGGAAAGTGGACCGGCAAAAGCCAGAAACAATGGAGACAGTTGACTTTGTATGTCGGTTTTTAAGAAGTTACTTCTATGGTAGTGATACGCTCGTGTGGTTCACAAGTAAGGTAGAAAGTCCAGTTCTATAGATATTCATCCGAAACTACCAACATTTTGATCTGTAACCGTTCGACATATCCCATAGTAGAAAGGGCATGTCTTAATTACGAGACTTATCAGTCAGATTTTTTTATATAGGATCGACTGACAAACGAGCACACAGTCCACCTGATGGTAAGTGGCTGCTGTGGCCCATAGACATCTACATCTATCCTCGTTTGCGAATCAAAATATATTATTTATCTATATATTTTGATTCGCAAAATATTTCCAGTGTTCTTGCACAAATACTAACGTCGACTAGGATTGGCAATTCACGGCGGGTAGTCAGTCACAACGGAGAGTTTCCATCTGCGCAAGGCAGTATTATAGTGCACGAGTGTGTGCGCAAACTTAGGTGCATTATTTATTCCCTCATAGTTCGATAGAAAGGCAAGTTAGCGTCGCCGGAGGAAGACCATGTACAGGATCAACGGCTGCGGGAGGGGGGGGGGGGGGGGTAACACCGCCAATTTCCTGACTCCCGCCTGCTACTGAGAACTTCTTGCCGGAAAAACTCAATAACTAATTTTGGCCCTGCCCCGAATACGAACCAAACGAGTCAGGCTACTAATAGAGTACGTGAGGGTAATATGGTTATCCGGTTACCTAATATGGTCACTTTCTTATAACTTAAAAACTACAGCCTAATTTGCATAGATGGCTTTGTGATACGATAGCTCTTCATTAGTCATTCAAATAATAAAGGGTCAAAAGGCCGCCGCTTTATCGACGTCATTTTGACAGTTGATATTATAGTTAGTACGTGATTGTAATATATAGCTGATATCACAAGGAGTAACTTAGGCTACTTTTATATTAAAAAAAGAATTAGGGTTCCGCGCAAAAAAATTAAAACCCCAAATAACACGCGGGCGAAGTCGTGGTGAACAGCTAGTTGTAAATATATTAGTCGATTTTTGTATTGTGTAGTGTAGTCAGTTTTTTTAAGTAGATTTTTCGAAGTGTTCCTAATTATTTCCAAAGCTTTGTGTTTTTGTCTCTGTCCTCCTCCTAGTTTTGGTTTTATAAGGCGGCAAAGCTTAAGGTGACCATATTACCCTCACGTACCTTATATAATATAATGAATATGATTGAGTATAATATACAATGCTTTTGCTATATTTCTATTCAATGTTATTTTAAAAATCAATCAATAGTCTCATTATCTTTTTGTATTAGTTATGTTTATGGTGATTGTAGGAGATATGTTTCTCTTCAAATGTCAAAGTTACCTGCACGAGATCTGCTCGCTGCTGATCTACAGACGGGGCTCTAAGGGCCTGACGTGACGGCAGAAAATTCAACCTAAAATAAGGAACCCAATTATTTTCAATTAATTTGCGGTTGATCTATCAAACTGCCAAGCGTTGTGAGTGTGGGCATATCTATGAAGTAATATTAATTTAAATGTCTGAGAAAAAGGTAGTTTGTTGAACAAGAATAATGTTCATGAAATCAATTTTTAATTAAATTTCGGTTAGAATGTAAGTTACTATGTAATATTTTTTACAATGCAAACATATTAATATATATATATATATATATATATATATATATATATATATATATATATATATATATATATATATATAATCTGTGCCTCTATTTTGTTTATATATGAATACGACGGCGAGTGAAAACAAAATCGTCTTTATTTTCATTTTACTAGGTATTGTATATTTAATTTTTTTTCTATACGGTCAGTAAGCTAAAGTGTTACCACTTCAATAAGCCTACGTTGACAAAGATTAAACAGTAAGCTGTAGTGGCAATAAGTCGGCTATATAGCTCGAAGACTCGACAACCGATGGGTAATTGAAGTGTAGAGCCCCCCACTAAATGGAGAGGTGACCTGGGAAGATATGCAAAAGGTCAGTGGATGCATGTGGCTAAGGATAGTGCTTTGTGGTATTCTTTGTGGGAGGCCATCTTTCATCAGTTGACTTGTGAAGGGCTGCAATGATAATGATGATGATGATTTTAACTTGATAAAAATGACCCATATGCTTCTATGTACAATATCTGTAACATGTTCTATCTGTGTTTTAAATTTCATCCAAATCTGTGAAGAGTTTTCATTAAGTACAAACATTGGATGTTTGTACTTAATGAAAACATCTTTACAAAATTTCATATAATATGTACATTGTATCATGATAGTATGGGCACTGGTATGGTGGGTACAGTGGCGTATCAAAGAGGGGGGGGGGCAAGAGGCCATGGACTTTTGCAACAGAATTTTGTCAAGAGTTAAAGGGCAGAAAAGAGCAAAAAGTCTGCTCCCCATGTTATCTTTTAAACATCAGTAAAAATATCAAAAATTTGAAAATTATGTATTGCTGTAATGTATACTTTTGATTAAAATATCACGAACACTGTAGCATTGTACGTTCTGAAAATAGAGATAATCTACACGCACTCATTTGCAAGGATGAGTTTAAGGGTAGGGATAAAGAACACATTATATTGTTTACTTAATTTTTTAATAATATGGATAGAAAATAGGAGAGTTTTACGGACAATCCCGTCTACGACCACTGTATTAGTAATTAAAAAAAGTAACTGTTCGACACATTAAAATAGATGATTATAACCAGGTTTTGTATTTAATTAAGTATCATTATATTTTTGAGTAAGAGTAAAAATAAAATTATGTTCGTTTTTATCAGCCCTACGTAGAGCATATTAAATACTGACTTCTCCCATTCGTTGTATGAAGGAAATAAATTTATTTCTTTAAATTTTTTATTACTGTAATATAATTTCCCATCGAACTATAAGAGTTAGAGTGTTATGTAGAGTTCGTTCTATGAAGGAAATAAATTTATTTCTGTAATTTTTTTATTACTGTTATATGATTTCTCTTGTTTAATTTTCAGTTGCAACTACTACCATCGGCTATAGGCAAGCGAGTTCTAAGTTATTTACCTTCAACTCAACTCAATGAATGTTGTCGCGTCAATAAGTATTGGGCATATATTATCGATGAACTCAGGGCAGAAGTTATTGCTAGACAAAAGATTGACACAGAGCTAGAAAATCTACGAGTAATTTTTTCAATATATTTTATTTTTAGAATGATGAATGGGCTACCAATATCATGACTCCCAACACCACTTTAACCACTGCACTGAAAAACACACCATCGTTGATAAACCTTATATACTGATACACCACTGTGGATCATACGTATTTTCAATCTCCAAACGAGGCACATCACCATAAAGAATATGCTCTGCGATATCTAACTGCTAAGTGCTATAGTAGTGGTTAGAATATTGGGCTAAGTAGAGTCGGGTTTGGAAGTGTCTGCTGTCTGTGATAGTGCACGCAATCTTGGAAGGAAAAAAAAACGCTTTATTTTTCACGCGCATCTAAGATATCATTTCTTTTTACACATTAAATACCATAATTACTCTGGCTGACGGCGGAGAGCAGTGTTAAAGGTGTCAAAGTTTTGTGATCGCCAAACGGCTTAATTACGATAAATGTAACAAATAGGAATTTGCCAATAAGACATATATAATGTTATGGCGTTATACTATAACGTTTATAATCTGTCAAAAGTCCACTGTTGAACATAGGCCTCCCCCATATATTGTCTCATAGGCAAGATATTTGCCATAGTTGCCACGCTTGGCAGGTGGGTTGGTAACCGCAGTATTTTTATATTTTAGTTGTTATCAGAAAGACGCTGCAGCCCATCTTCTGGTTTGTTTTCATCTGTCGCTTCTTACGACACCACGGGACGACACATGGTAGTGGATGTTTTTACATCCCTACTACTCCGTGAAATTTATGAATATAATAAATGTCTATAGACATTATTCATTAAAAGTTTTCAATTTATAGGAAATTATGGCTCATAATGACGAAAGTACGGTCTCCTTGGTACAGTCGTATACGCAAATAGAATACTATAGTTCGCAACCACCAAGTATGCCGTCAGTTAAAACTAGACACGATATGCCTAGCATACGCGTCAGTCAAAAATCCGGACGCTCGACCTTCAGACACAGAGAGAAAATGAACAAGCCCAGGTATAAAGTAAGTAACGTTGAGATAATTATTATTTATTCTTTACCGCAAATAACTACTTCGTTGGTCCTGTGATCGTAAGCGAGACTGCTGATCGTGAGGTCACGTGTTCGAGTCCCGGGTCGCGCCCAAATCAATTATTGGATTTTTCTGTCCAGAAATTCTCAGGAGCATTCTTTAGTCAGGATGTTGGCGGCGTTACACACCCGTGTTAAGTGTGTTATGTGTGGAAAGCACGTAAAACTGTTGTCTATTCATCGGCAAATCTATACATATAATAAAACTGTAAATAGCAGATGTCTGTACATTTAATATTTTTGTAATAAAAGTGATTGAGGGGTACTTAAAATAAGTAATTAAATACATTTCTACCATTTTTAGAATTTTCTGTCTGTCTGTCTGTCTGTCTGTCTGTTTGTTTGTTAACGTATCACGTATAAAGTACTAATTTATATCATAAGAATTGTTAAGGAAATTATAAAGTGTATCTTCGGGTTACATTTAGTCTTTATTTCATTAAAATCAGTTCATTCCATCAAAAGTTATGATAAATATTCTGAAGTATGGGTAGGGAAGTATAGGTACGAATTTGCTCAACGGTGGCTTTGTTTGAGTCATCAAGTGCATTTTAAACTAATATCATATCATAAATCATAGTTAAATTATGTAAAATAATGATATAATTATGTATATCTAAAACGCAGTAAACAAAAGTAATAAAGAACGTATTAAATATATTATACAAAAATATATTAACGTTATTAACTAAATCTGAAGCACAATAGTTAACCCATTTCTTCGATAGATGGTGGTGTTGTGAAAATGCAATGCAATTGCAAATGTGGTTTTTTCCTGTAGATAGAGTTTTCATATTTACTGCTAATCTTTATTATATTACTCGCTGCCCTACTGCGTGTTGATAAACTCAATTTATTCTTTACCGCCGAGTACTCTATGTGGTAAATCAAATTTTAAAAGAGCTATTAACAATTGCATTGGTTTTGGCGAGAGTCAAACTTTATTTTTTGCTTACTGTGCAGGCACTGATTTATAAGTTCTCTTACGTTTTATATAACGTATCAATCGCGTCAATTAATCTCTTTTATTTTTAGAATTGATGATGTTAGCAGCGCCATCTCTCTTTAAATATATACATATAATAAAAATGATGATAACATGTTGTGTCTCTTTCTGTACATTGTATATATATTTTCGTGGCTAAAATCATTATGATGAACTGAAAATAATTAAATAAGAACATTTTATAATTTTTAAAATTGCCTGTCTGTCTATTTGTCTGTTATTATATGAACGCATCACGTCTAAAGTAAACATCTTTTATTTTCAAAGAAATCGTTAAGAATATCATAAAGCGTATCTTCGAGTTACATTTAATCTTTGTTTTACTAAAATTGGTTAATTCTATCGAAAGTAATGATTATTATTTTGAAATATAGGTTCGAATTTGTTCAATGGTGCCATAAAATCTCAGAAATAGTAATAAAAAGATTTCTGTGTAAAAAAAACGTTCCATAATAATTAATATATTTATACTTAAAACACAAAAAGAGATAGGATGTTTCTCACACAAAGGACGTAATAGATGGAGTTGTACAAATTACAAACTTTTCTGAATTGCTGTGTTGAGATTTTTCGCCGATGTATCGTATCGTAGATGACGCCTTGACACATATGAGTATTGGTATTGTATAGTTTGTAATATGTAGTATATTGTAATTTGTATTGTATAGCCAATATTATTTGTAAATTATGTGTTTCTATTTTATGTTATCTGTGATGGCGTCATTTTGGAGAATAAACCTTTCTTTCTTTCTTTCTTTCTATTGAGACTTACTGAAGAAATTTGTATCCATCGAAGCCATACAACGGAACCCGACCAAAAATAAAAATTTCGCAACGAAATGTCGTGATATTGTATTTATAATATACGCAAAATCAGAACTGCCATTTTAGCGCTTTGGGAACTAGATTTAGCACTTTTTTGGAATGTATAGCGCGCATTTCGAAATTTTAGCACCTAGCGCTTAATCCAGCGCTTTTTGGTGTATTTAGCACACATTTCAGTATTTTAGCGACTAGCGGGTTATTAACTCTTTTATAGCAGCACTGTTAGTCCACATTACCGATAATAATAATAATGACCTTTATTATTTTTTCCCACAAATAGTACATTGCAGTTTATCTTTTTCAAACATATTTTTTCCACAAAACAAAGAGCATGGGAGACGAGTCCAAACTAGGATACCCTGTGCTATGGATCTCCTGGCTTCCCCTTTAGGATGATCAACTTGATTTTTTTACCGACGACTATAAGCGGGGAAATCCCCTTTATTAAAGTTTTCGTTCATGGTTTTGGCAACGCATTTATTTTGCTTTATTCAGTTTCAGTCAGTTGCTTAGAGCACAGCTAAGTTAAAAGTTACTTAGAAGTTATAACACAAAGAAACTGTGTAGCAACCGCAATCAGATGCTGACATCTTTTTTTTTTTTTTTTATAGGATAAGGGTGACAAACGAGCACACAGTCCACCTGATGGTAAGTGGTTGCTGTGGCCCATAGACATCTACATCTACCTTCGATTAAGAGTCAAAATGCAGATGCGTTGTCACCCGTGAGGACTAAGATGGAATGCCTCGTTTCCAGTAAAAAGGGTCTCCGGTTCTCTACACTCACCATACGAAACACAGCAGCGTTAAGCTGCTATTTTACGCTGGTATTCTGTGAGAGCGTGGTCCTTCCCCGGTCGAGCCGACCCATTCGTGCTACAACCATAATATAGATGCAGCATGGCTCTACCACGTATAAACCACGTATAAAAAATCTGAAACTAAGTTGCGAAATACATTGCACTTTAAAACAATTAATGACATTTTTATTGTTCGTACAGTACTAACTACTGTTGACAGCAATTGCTATAATTATAAGTCGATGTCCTGCGAAGTATTGATACATCAAAAAAATATTGCCAGAAAAAAAACTTAATGTTGTTTTCTTTATTATGATTATATAAAAATACACAAACTTTGTTTGTAGTTAATTTAGCGCGAAATCTAGGGCTTTTTTAAAGCGCTGTTTTCATGAAATCTAGCGCTTTTTGTGTTGTCCTAGAGCTGAATGAGTTTTTTTTTATCTGACAGCACTGCCCAAAAACCCTCTATTAAGAAGTAACTTTCCTTTCAGTTTTAAGCGCGTTCAGTTCCCAGTTACAGTGAGTTTATGTTATGCGATGACCGTAAATAAAGCGCAAGGTCAAACTTTACGCGTTGTAGGAGTGTACCTCAGTACTGACTGTTTTGCACATGGCCAACTCTATGTTGCTTTTTCCCGCGTTAGTAGCCCCCGTAACCTTTTTGTGTACACCCCGGCTAAGCCTACTTCTAACGTCGTTTACACAGAAGCTCTATCATAAACGACTTAGAACTTTGATGATAATGATTTATTTTGTTACCACTTATTGATACAGTAATGAAATAAATCGTTTAATATTCTCTTACCTAAACGACAAATTCTTTATGTAAAACCTGTATACGCGAGCTACGCCGCGGGCACAGCTAGTTTAAAATATTTATATTCAAGTTTTAACATCACATCGATGTTAAAAATCTTTTATAAAACATCTTAAATTTATATTTATTTTATTTTTCTTCTTTAAAGACATCAATACCAATTCGGAACATGGCTGAACTGAACGCACGCTTGGAAAGACGAGGCGCCGCTGATGAGAATATCTGGAAGTGGTGTGAGAATGTTCTTAAACTTTATAAAAGACCGAATCGAGAAGAGGTAATTTCTACTTTTTTAGAAACATAAAATAACTGTCTATTCGTATGAGTGCGTACTAGTTATGGTCAAGAGCAAATCAAATATTATGTGACGCCATTTGTCTAGGCTTTCTTTTTTTACTTATAAGCCAGTGCATGACCACAATCCCTCTTGGTTGTACGCGCTGATGAACTTTTAGATAGTAAATACCACTATCCTAGCGTAACAATAGCATATTCACTCTTGCTATGAAGATACCCAGATTATCATCATCTTAATCATCATCATCATCATCATCATTACGTTCTATCACATCCTATCAAAAGTCCATTGCTGAACATATAGGCTTCCCAAATAGGTTGCCTAATAGGGAGCATTTTTAACATAGTTACCACGTTTGGCAGACGGGTTGCCAACCGCAGTTTTTCGGGTTCCGTACCCAAAGGGTATCCAACGGGAACCTATTACTAAGCCTCCGCTGTCTGTCAGCGGGCTGTATCTCATGATCCGTAATAAGTAGACAGTTGAAGTTTTCACAGAATATGTATTTCTGTTGCCGCTATAACAATTAAAATAAATTAAAAATTAAAAGGGGCTTCCCTACTATAAACGTGTATTACGACGGTACGGAATCCTTCATGCGCGAGTCCGACACGCACTTCGCCGGTTATTTATTATTTTGATGTTATTAGGAAGCTGCTGCTGCCCATCTCTTGGTTTGTTTTCCATGTTATCTCTTACGATTGTTTATTGGAAGTATAAGAATATTCACTACACAATATCGAACCAGATTGTAATCGGGTGGAAAGTCCTACAAATAGGTAACTTCTCTGGAATGAATCAGAGATTTCCATTAAGTGCTTTTTCATGAACTTTTTGCGAAACGTTAAACCATTTTTACAGAACGACACAGGAATGAAGGGTAAACAGTCAACGGGCCACTTATGTTTTCCGTGCCCTTTGATGGAGCAAAGTATAATTATTCCGCTCTCTAAGCTACTTGTTAAAGATCCCACAAATGTAAAAGTTCCAATGAAGTAAGTGACCGATATTATCTTTAGTTCTGTTCGTTACTGTCTAATAAACAACTCACTAAGTAAAACTAAACGCTCAACAAAAATGGTAAAAATAAAATTTTTGTAGAACCGACTTCAAAATAAATAATTTATTGTTGATTTTTTTAAAACCGCTCGACCGATTTCGATAATATTTAAATGGGATTACCTGCGAAATATACCCTTTGAAACAAAAAAAGAGTTTTCCAAATCGGTTCTGGCGTCTTCGAGTAATCGGTGAACATAAGAAAAAGATTGCGACGAATTGAGAACCTTCTCCTTTTTTGAAGTCGGTTGAAAAGCGAGATGTGAACACAAGATTCCATCATGTAATGGTGTTATAAGAATATCTGACCTTTCAAATATTTTGAATCTTCTAATAAAAATCTGAAAAAATTACTACTAGGGAATGATAGATTACTAGCTTTGGCAGTATGTTCTCAGTTGAGATAAAGTGAAAAACTATAACTTTCTCTTCAATAGTCTTCTCTAGATATTAAATTGAATTTTTTTTTACAGTGATTACTACATTTTTAAGTTTCAATATAAGAGTAACAAATAATCTAACAGTTCAGGTAAGTGGGTGACAAACGAGCACACAGTCCACTTGATATTAAGTGGATGCTGTGGCCCATAAACATCTACAATCTACATCAATCCTCGATTAAGAATCAAAAGGCAGCTGCGTTGTCACCTTTGAGGACTAAGGTGGAAAGCCTTGTTTCCAGTAAAAAATATTCTCCTGGTTCTCTACACTTACCATACGAAACGTGATGCTTCCCCGGTCATGCGACAACTGTAATAAAATTGCAGCGTGGCTCTACCACGTAAAACTTTTTAATTTTCAAACAAAGATTTTTTTTATTTTAATCTGTATTTAATAATTAATCGGAAAGAGCCTAATGACCTTCATAATTATTATTTCAATACTTCAGATCAACGAACGTCAACATTAAATTACGTAACGACATCAACACTTTACATCAACAGGATAATAAACGCTATAGTCTGTGGAGTAAAGACTTGTCTAGCTTATATCCGGTGTCTAAGATTGCATCTTATCAGTCGCCTTTATAAATCTATATATATATATATATATATATATATATATATATATATATATATATATATATATATATATATATATAACAAATCAGTAGAAAAATTGTGTGTTCACGAATACATGCAAAAACTACCAAACGAATTGTCATGAAATTTTGAAAATTTTTAGAGGATGACATATTTTTTTTTTCACTTCTAATATTTTGAATGTTTACATTGAACGATAAAAAAATTCAGTTACCTTTTGTGTTTTCTTTTCTCCAGAGTTAGGCGTTCCTCACTTTTATATATCAATAGGTACGAACTTAATTTACATATATTTTAGTGTCTTTCATTATCACCAATGAAACTGAATTGTTCGGTGGTTTACTGAGTAGTAGCAGTGTAAGATTATCTACTCGTACTAACCCATATCATCACGTGGGTGTCGTAAGAGGCGACAGAGGGAAACAAACCAGGAGATGGGCAGCAGCCTTTTCCTAATAACGACTAGAAATAAAAAATGCCGTTGCCAACGCGCTTGCTAAGCGTGGCAACTATGGAAAATATCGAATAACATAAAGAAAAAAGAGAATATAGGTCTCCCCCAATTATTCAATTATGTTCAGCAGTGGACTTGAATAGGCTGTTACGGTAACGTTAAAGATATCATTGTGATTAACGAGATATAAAAATATTCGGATGACATGTGAAACCCATTTTATTAGTGTGGAAGAAACTTCTATATTTCATAACTATATTAAATCTACGTACATGTACTGTTAAGTCGATCAAATAAATCGCTTTAGGACGCGGGGGTCTACTTTTTTGTCAGACCAGACCACGAGGAGATTCTAAGAAAGAAAATCACCTAAAAACATAACAAACCGACAAGATAGTTAATATACTAAATAAAAAAAATGTTATCATCAGAACCTCTGACAAATTTCATCAAATTTGTTGATAATAGACAAGAAACTTTTGGGTAATATCAAGGTAATACCAAATTTTAATACATTTAATACATTCATTTGTTTTTTAGGGTTCCGTACCTCAAAAGGAAAAAACGGAACCCTCTCGAAATCGAACATCGAAGTATTTCGCTCTCTCTCCCACTCACGGGCCTTAGGCAAAGAATATACACACTACGCGAAAAGAAACGACACTTAAGCATGTGTGTGCGTAAAATCACTTGCGGCTATGTGTGGGTGTCTGGATGTGTGCGGGCGCCTTGAGAAGCGCGCGGGGCGTGGAACGGGCCGTCGCCGACTGCCCTGGCTGAGGGCTGCGCTTTATACAAAAATCATATTATAATTATTCTACCTTTATTTAGTTACAAAATTTATTTATATGTATGTCACATTTATGTTAGTAAATTTATATATTTATTTACTTAAAAGCATATATTTCTAATTTTATATATTTATATTTTTTTTATTAAGGACAACAAACAGTTTTGTAATAAAAATTACAATTCAAATCAAAATGAAAAAAAAATTTATATATATATATATACACTACCAAAGGTCCTTGACATTATGTAAGATACTTCATCGCAATCGTTTTTATTTTGAAATTAAACAATAAATAGGACAATAATATGTTCAACGATTTATCTTTTATTAGAAAAACAATATAAATCCCATTACACAAGTGCAGTTTCAATATTACATTACTGACAAATATTTAAATCAGTTTTAAGATATGAACAATAATGGTCAACTAATTAGAAACAACAAAAAAAAGTATAAAAAAACAATATTTTTTAAGTATTAGTAATTAGTATTGTTATTTACGAAATAGCTACTATCCACAGCCTACCAATAGTTATAATTTTCAATAACAGCACTGCAACGACGTCGCATTGATTCAATCAATTTCAAGTTTTGTAGGTGGATTAAATTCCATGCTTCAACAAATGTTTCATATAGTTCGTTTTGACTGGTGTTACGTTTGTTTAAGACTTTCTTTTTAACAATATACCAGAGATTTTCTATCGGGTTTAAATCCGGACTATTTGCTGGCTAGTCTAAAACGAATATACGCTGTTCGCTAAGGAAACTCTCAAGTTTAATAATCAAAACAAATCAAATTTTGAAAAAAGATCATCAAAGGTGTATTCTGACGACGTGAAATTGTGATACAAACATTGATTTACCTATATATGTTACACTAGATAAGTAATTGCCGCGCCAAAGCGTTGCCACTTCACATATGGCCACAGCCATATGCCCAGCAGTGTGACGATCTTTAAAATACAGATCCTGTCACACTTTGGTTAAAAACCTGCCAAATCCTGCCAAAATCTGTAATGAAAAATGCCTAAATACTGCCAACTTTATTTAACATTGTATTAAAGTAATAAAAGTCAAAATACACATATAAATGCTGTATTTTTTAAATTAAAATTAAACATATCTTTCGTTGGTTCGAATGCAATGCAATCTCCATGCTTGTTTAACGTACAAGATATACGCTTCATGTTAGTTTATAAATCTGTTTCGTGTTTTTGTGCAAATTAAATTTATTTTAGAGAATATTCTTTCGCATGCTGAATCCACTCCTATTTTGTTGGTGTTTACTAGTAGCGGCATGCTCCTTTAAGCGCACACACGGGGTGCCAATTTGCAATTACACAGTCTGGATCATCTTTAGCTTTTGAGATCCATGATGGAAATAAAAGATCTTGCTTCCACTTCACTCTAAACGCCCTGTCTTATTTTCGCTTCATCACCGCCACCTATGGTGATAATGAAATCTAATTCTATACCAAACTAAAGTACGTCTCTTTTATGACTGATTGAAATATTAACCAACTCGTGTTAAGATTATCAACTTTATACATATATTTTTTTAAAGTTGTTTATTGAATGTGATACAAGCATAATACGAGAAACCGAGAAATACAGGGAAATCCCCAACATGCTGGCGAAGTATCTAGGCGTTACCATTTTCATTATTTTAAGTTGCCATGATGAAATATATTTTTAATACCCCAATAGTGCCAAATACTGCCAGGTTTTATAAAACGTCAACCGATCATGCCAGAGGCTAAAATAAGAGGCCAATCCTACCAAAATGGCAGGAACCTGCCACATATGGTCACACTGATGCCCAGCTAACGTCGGTTCAGTGTTCAATGTGACGCCGACCGAGTTGAGCCGAACGATTCACGACAAAAAATGGGTTAATGCATAGTGAAAGAATACGATTCAAGGTCCCAAAAACGTAATTAATCAAGTGGAATTACTTTCCACGTGTAAGTTTTAGTTTATGTTTTCATATTAACGTAAAAAAAAAACACAAAAATGAAATTAAATATCGAAAATTAAATTTAGGTTCAATGTTGCCACTTTTCTACCTTTGCAATTTTCCCACATTACCCTACTACGACTACATAATTTATGGAATAAGTTAACTTGTTAGCCCTGATTTTAAATCTGGAAATTATTTCTTATATTTACACGAACACTACACCTTTAAATAAAACTAATTTGGGGAGACTCACCCCGTGACCATGGGTGCTGTAAAGTGCTCGAAACGTCGGGAATATAAAATAAGTTAATATACGCAATAAAACATTGGGTTACACAAGGCTAGAGGAGCAAACCACATTGCCGCGCGTCGAAAAAAGTGAAACCAATATCTAACCGCGAGGTCGTAGCTATGAACTACTAAACCTTTTTAAGTAAACATATATCCTTACTCATATTTTCAATTACTCCATATCCTCTGGATCCTTTCCTCGAATCTGGAAGGAAGCTAATATCATTCCTCTTCCTAAAAAGAAGAACCCCTGTTCTCCTTCAGATTATCGACCTATATCTATCCTTCCATTCCTTTCAAAAGTTCTTGAACGTTTGGTATTTGCACAATTTAACCACTACCTAAATAAAAACTCCCTTCTTGACTCCTTTCAATCAGGGTTCAGACTTGGTCATAGTACTGTTACAGCTTTACTTAAAATCACTGATGATATTCGCTGGGGTATGGACCAACAGCAGCTCACTATTCTTACGTTGCTGGATTTCAGTAACGCTTTTAACACCGTCGATTTTGACGTATTGTTGAGTCTGCTACGTTCTATTAACATATCTCCAGCGGCAATTGAATGGTTTCAAAGCTATTTGCGTGGCCGCCGGCAGCGTGTTATGGTAGAGGGTGCCACATCTACGTGGTGTGAACTAACTGCTGGTGTACCACAGGGTGGCGTGTTGTCTCCTCTCCTTTTTTCTGTATTTATTAATTCTATTACTTCACGAATTTCTTCTCTCTACCATTTGTATGCAGATGATCTCCAAATTTACTCCCATACATCACTCCAGAATCTTACCAATGCCATCAATGACACTAATACGAATCTTGCTGCAATACTTGATTGGAGCAGGTCGTTCGGGCTTAATTTAAATCCCAAAAAGACCCAAGCCATTATTGTTGGAAATAGCACTCTAATCTCGAGAATTTCTTGGGATAACCTTCCACCTATTGTTGTTGATGGTGTTGTGATACCTTTTAGTAAATCTGTAAAAGACCTAGGATTATATATTGATCAGAATCTTTCTTGGTCCCTGCATATTAAGGAGTCCAGCAGGAAGATGTTTGCGGCAGCATCTTATTTAAGACGTTTGCGTAACTCGCTTCCCATTCCTACTAGAATTTTACTGGCACAGTCTTTGTTACTCCCTATCCTTGATTATGCTGATGCATGCTACTCCAATCTTACTGAGGATCAATTAAATAAACTTGAGCGTCTTCAGAATTTCGCTATCAGGTTCATATTTGGCCTTCGCAAATATGATCATGTTTCAGAGTACCGTATTAAGCTCAAGTAGCTCCCTATCAGGCTTCGTCGGAATACTCATATTCTATCTCTACTGTACTGTGTACTATTTGATCCTAAAACACCGAGTTATCTTAAAGAAAAATTTGAGTTCATGGGCGCAAATAAAAATCTTTCCTCACAACTCAAAATTTTTTCATTCCTCCTTTTGTGTCAAAGCAATCAAATCATGGAACTCGCTTCCTTTAACAATTAA